CAGAGTAGAGGGGAAGGAGGACCTCTCTCGACCTACTAACCACCCCCCTTCTAATACACCCCAGGATGCCATTGGCCTTCTTAGCCACAAGGGCACAGTGTTGGCTCATGGTCATCCTGTTGTCCACTAGGACCCCCAGGTCCCTCTCCCCTACACTGCTTTCTAACAGGTCGTTCCCCAACCTATACTGGAACCTGGGGTTGTTCCTGCCCAGATGCAGGACTCTACACTTTCCCTTGTTATATTTCATCAAGTTACTCCCTGCCCAACTCTCCAGCCTATCCAGGTCTCGCTGGATGGCAGCACAGCCTTCTGGCGTGTCAGCCACTCCTCCCAGCTTAGTGTCATCAGCAAACTTGCTGATGGTACACTCAATTCCCTCATCTAAATCATTGATGAATATATTAAATAATACCGGTCCCAGTACTGACCCTTGAGGCACTCCACTAGTCACAGGCCTCCAACTAGACTCAGCCCCATAGACTACAACTCTCTGGCTTCTCTCCTTCAGCCAGTTCGCAGTCCACCTCACTACCTGATCATCCAGTCCACACTTCCTCATTTTAGCCGTGAGGATGCTGTGGGAGACTGTGTCAAATGCTTTGCTGAGGTCAAGGTAGACCACATCCACCGCTCTGCCATCATCCATCCACTGTGTCTTTAGGAACAAGACTGTAGGTGCCAGTGACTCAGGAATTTCAGTTTGGTTTTGTATTCCCGGGACTATTGTGTTCTCTTTGCAGATCTGTAACAGAACTTATCTCACTTAACACCAGTCTGATTCTGCCATTTCTTCTATGTGAACACTATCAGCTCCTTAAGACTTGTGTTTCTTCTGCTGTGGTAGAGCCTTAACATCCTTCTAAAGCAGTAAATTGTCTTACAAAAGGTAATGAATTTACTTGATGGAAAGATAGTATAAATCAAACAGTGGCATTTTGGTATTGCTTTCCTATGTCTGTCTAACAGAAAAGGAGTGGCTTTGTTCTGATGGTAGAGCACCCTCATACTCATTTTCTGAGCTTGGTGTTAAAGAGTTATACATGACATTTGGTGTTGTACAGTGGATGCTCAGTACCTGCTACACTAGGTGCTATGCAAGGCAAATGAGTAATTAGGTAGGAAATAGCTGAGAGGTTCCTATGACTATGCTCCCACACTATCAAATCACCATTGCTCTCTAGTGTCTGACAAGCTGAGAGCACTTGAGTGGGGACTATGAAAGGATCTCTCTCTTCTCTTGCTCCTAATAGTAACAACAAAGGTCCAGGACCTTAACGTCTTTGAGACAGCTGTCAAGCGTGAGTTCACTTTTGAAGCCATACTTCCTAAGGATTTTACCTCTCTGGCACTCGAGGTGGGGACTTTGGTTAAGTCAGTGTCAATTCAAAGTGGGAAGAAAGCCAAGGGGCAGCTTGTACTTGCTCTTTTTGTGCCTGGGAAAGCTGGATTTGTAAGTAAGTTACTGCAGAAGGAGGGTGAGGAGGTAAGAAATAAAAATGGCTCTAACCAGCAGGAACTGGATCTTTCCTAGCTGGACAGCTACAATTTATCAAGCAGAAACAATGTGTAACTGTTTGCCTTGTGAGTAAACATGACTGGAACAAAGCCTGGCCTGTATGTGTGTGTGTGTGTGTGCTTGTGAACGTCCTTGCACTTACTTTACTGGCTGTCCACGTGCTGGTCAGTGTGTGGTTAGTATCTTTAATCAGAGTCAAAAGAAGGGGGATGGGCAGGCAGCAACAGACAAACATAACCCTTCCTGTGCATGGAGACCTGCAGTTTGTCTGTGCTAGGCCTATGGTAAGCCTTTGGTGTGCCCAAAAGATTCCTGTATGTAGTTCCACAGGTTAGTAAAAGCAGAGTTGGCAAGTAAGTTCAGATGAAGTAGAACAATTATCTCATGGAGCAATGTAAATAAAGCAGCTCTTCCAGTGTGGCTTATAAATGTGGCTAATTTGGTTCCTAACATGGTCATTAGGACTGCAAGGTGAGAGAGGGTGCGATTAGCAGCTTGGTGCTGCCAGTGCACCTTTATTCTGTGAGCACTGCAGCACTGTTCAGGTACCTACTATACCACCTACCAGGCTGGGGAGTTACTTTGCTGTCTGAGTAGTCTGAAATTCCCCTTTGATTTTGTACTAGCCTTACAGCTAGTAAGGCACAGAGCTGGGGTTACTGATAGAGTATCTGCTCCTCTGCTTCATTGGTCTTGGCTCACAACACAGTTACTCTGTTCTGATTGTGAAAGTGGTAAATTGAGGTTGATGCCTTATTTTCCAATGTCATTCTCAATTGTGAAGCCTGGAAACTGTAACAACATGCAAGTTGTTTATCACTGCTCCTAGGGATGGGAGGGAAGAATGAGAGGAATGTGTCCCATGGTGCCACAGTGAATTGGAAACAGAAGAGTGAAGTTTTGGTGAAATTAAATAAATTAGTCTAATTAGCCTGTCCACTTAATTAAAGTTATTTTAGTTATTTTGTCCTGGTTACATGACATGAGAGGTGAAAGAGCTGATATGTGTCTAGGAGCATCTGGAAAACTGTGACATTATTGAGGGAAAAGCAGTGGTCAGGGAGTTAAGGACAGGGAACAGGAATGCTGGAGTGAAAAAAAGAAGCATTGGGAATGATGGAGTTTGGATACTCAGTTTATTTTAGTTGCAGACAGTGAAGGATTTCTAATCCAGGGAAAGATGACTTGAGGTTTCCTTCTGGATGCAGCACTGAGAATGACATGTAAAGGAACTGCCCTCTCCAGGGGTGCAGGGACAGGCTGTGTGATTAAGTCCCTGCAAACAGAGCATTCAAATCCTTGCTCATTTTCTGTTTGCTTTCCAAGATTCCCGAGGAAGCTGAAGCACTGCATTCTCCAGTTATACCTTAGCTACTCTGTTCTCTTAGAGCCTTTTGGTGCTGAGGTCTCTGCTACAACGGCAGTCTGCTCCTCAATTGCCACTTTTCAGTTTGCTGTGACCATGGAAGATGATGCCAAATGGCAGCATAAACTGATCCCTGGCTAACAGTACTTGGCAAACAAACCCTGGAACTGATTAGGCTTTAACTTCACTTATCTGCTTAACAGCCCAGCTCTCTGAAGTAAGAGATTGGCACTAGTACCAGCAGGCTCGGGAAGGTGACACTGTATTGGCTTATACTGAGTCTATATCCAAAAGGTTTCCTTTAGGGGTATAATGAAAGCACTTGAAGAAGCTGAAGAATGAATGGCTTATTTTCTGATGTGCATGGGACTAAGCTTGCCAATATCCAAAGGCAAGTGAAGTTTCTGAAGCCCTATATGATGAAAGAAAAGCCTGAGAGCATTTAAATAGCCACAAGTACACTTTAATGCTGTAAAGTGATCCCAGCACAAATAAGGCTGACATACCTTGTGTGCACCAGCCTCAAGCCCAAGCTTAGTATCTTAGACCTTGGGTGATGCAGCCACAGTGCTCACGCAGCAAGTGATTAGTCTGTGATCCATCTGACATAGGTCCTTCACACTGTACTTCACTAATTCCCCCATAGGTCAGCCCCATTCTTTAAGGCACTCACATCCCTTTTCCAGCCTGTGTGTTGCAGGTCTGGAGTTGTGCAGCTTGGGGATTTTGTTCGGCTGATCACTGTAAAAAAGTAAAAAGCTTTTGAAAACCTCCAAATCAAAAGAGGCCATTGTGTCAGAACTGAGATGGGGCATTGCCAGGCTCCTGTCATTGAGGGGATCAAGAGCAGGACAGGGTAGGAGGGGGACATGGAGAGAGAGCACAATGGCAGTTACTGGTGAGTCCTAATGAGGAGCAAGACTGTCTCCTGGCAACGTGTGGCAATCGGTGGATGGAGCAAAAGGAGCCTGAATGAGATGCCAGGGTCCATTTCAAGAGGTCTGGAGAAATTTGCTATTCTCTTATTGCAGACCTGCCTAGTTTATTATTAACACTTCCTTGTGATGCAATCCTTGCTGCTACGGCAGTGTGGACAACAAGTGTATGTAGGGCACAGATCTGCCTGCAGAGGAGTTGGGCAGCGCTTTTGCTTGGCCCTCTTCTGGACCCATTTCTTGGCTGTGACATTTGGTTGCCATGCCAACTTTTCAGCATTAAATCATAATCTAAGCACAGCAGGAGGCCCAAAGCCTTCAAAGATCTAGTTCCTGTTCTCTCCCCGCTGACCGTATAACTGGCTGTGTGAGCTGGATTGGCTGGACACTTTGATGTCAGCAACAATGCAGATGAAATGACAGTTCCCTTTGGAAACAGGTACAAAAGTTAATGGGAGTTATGCCTAGGAGATTCCTGGCTTCCCAGCTTTGCCACCTGTCTGAAATTAAGCCCTCTCTGTCAGGCAGCTCAAAGCCTGCTCGGGTGGTGGTGAGCTAGGAAAGGCTTCCATTTCCCAGGTTCACTTCCCTCATTAATGCCTGCTTAGTATTAAGCTACTGCATAGATCCCCTCACAATTAAGACTATTTCTGGGCTACTAAAGACATGCTTCAGATTGTCAAGATTAAAGGTCTTGAAACAAGAAACACTACATTGGAAATGATGTCTATTAGATCATTAAAATGTTAAATATGTTGAATGCACAGTTCATGTTCATTTTCCTTCCATAACGGGTTGACAAAGAGGCACACAGTTAGTAATGCTGAAATGCTCAAAATGAAGAACCTGCTCTGGAAATGACAGAACTGAAAAGGTGATGCTTACCTTCAGGGCTGAGAAATCAGATGAGTACTAGAGGGGAAAACTCCCTGAATTTTTATTAATATTGTTTGATAGATGTCTTCAATAACTACATTCTGAAAGGTTGATACTGGCAGTACATGAATGTGAGCCCCTGGAAGAGGCTGCTTGGAATTTTGTCACAGCTTTTGGCATAGAAGAGTCAGGTCTTGGCAAGGCCTGACTCTTCAGGACAAGGTTGCCTACTTGACTTTGTTAATTACTCTTCAGCTGTTGTGCAACATAATATGGTGCTGAAAATACAATGAGAAATCAGAAGAAATACCTGTAACACAGCATGGAGTAACCATGGTCTGGACTGGTGTGCATACACTGGAGATCAGTTTATCTGCACTCTTCTTCATTTTTATGGTGCCCAGGATATGGTCTGAGCAGTCCCTAAAGACAGAGAACAGTCTGGATTACTGAACCCTGGTTTCATAGAATCAGAATGGTTACGGTTGGAAAGGACTTTAAGATCATTCAGTTCCAACCCCCTGCCATGGTCAGGGACACCTCACAGGACACAACCTGCTCCAGTGCCTCACCACCCTCTCAAGTGCCTCAATACCCTTTGCTTCAGGGGACCATTTACAGGGAATGTGCTAGGGAAATACATATTAACCAATTGTGACTCTGGAGAGCTCCCAGTCCAAAGCAGCACAACGGAAATGTTCAATCAGTTTCAGTGTGTGGATCTCCTCACTTGCAGACCAGTGTCACATCTCCTAGTCATCACTACTTCTCTGAGTCATGGTTTCCATGTGCTTTAAACAGCAGGGCTGCAATAAAGAGGTAGAGACTGTGGAGAGGGAGGTGCGGGAGTTTTCTTAGTGAGTAAAAAGAAATGTCACCAAGCAAAAATTCCATCAGAGTTAAAAAGGAAGTGAGAAGGAGATTGCCTTTATGCAGCAGCTCTGTTCTGTTTTGCAGAGATGTTGGCATGATTACAGAAGTGTAAGGAGGATCAAAGAGGCAGTCTAGCAGATGACAGCAGCTCTTGCCAAATCCTACTTCTTTATAGCCTTTGTTTCAGGGAACTCTGACAGCAGTGCTAAAGTTCTTTACTTATCAGGTGGTAGGTTAAAGGAAAATTTGTCTTGCAGGCTTCACACTGTAAATGAAGTGCTCTCTTTGCCTGCGGAATGTGGTGTCTGCCTTAAAGTTATACACTTTTATACACCTGATTATAGGGACAACTTAGATAAATTTTCCTGCAGGATTAGGACTCCTAGACATGGGACCTTCTGGAGAAACAGAGTGATGGACAAGAAGCTGCAGGAGGCAGAACTCTCCTGTGGGAGTGTACCTTTTGAATGATTTGTCATTGGTAATCCATCACTAAAGCTAGCTTCAAGATAAACTCCCAAATCTTGTGGGGGCAGAACCAGACAGAACTGGCACATGCTTTAGCTAGAAGAAGTTATCATCCTTGGCGTGTAAATCAAGGTGTGAACAGAAATGCCATGTTGAAAAGGAATCATGGCTAACGTAGATGTCAGCTACTGTCTTGGTGGACGGAGGAGATGACTGCAACTGGTTTGCCACCCATCTTGAAATGGGCGGGAAGGCTTCTATCAAACAGGCCCCGGGAGTCAGCAGCAGGCCTATGCCTTGCGTCACTCTGAGGTGGTCCATTCCCCATGGGAAAGAGGTTTTTCTTGATGCAGCATCATCTGTTATGCAATAATTGATCTACGTGGAGATTGGATGATTTTTGTTTTGTTAGCCTGAGGAAGGACTGTCTCTAGCTGGGTGCAAAGTGCTTCCTATACGTTAAGCTCCAGAAGGCTCTTTTGGAAAACAGCTGGTGAAAATATGCACCTATTTTGTTCCCATGTGCTTCCCACTGTCTTTGTAGCAGCTGTCCCTAAGGCTGTGAGCCAGCCCCACAGCCCCACTGCAGAATGCTGGAGAGGGGCAACTACCAGAGCAGGAGCAGAAACACTGAAAACCACCGACTGAGCCTCAATGATAATCACTTAGCAAAGAGGAAGCTGTCGTTGGGCAAGGGGGGGGGTGGTGGTGGTGATGAGATAGTTAAATCCTCCAGGAGGAATCACTGGGAAAAAGGACTGCCTGAGAATGTGGAATTACCTAAAACTAATAGGCTTTCTCTTGAGCTAGGGGAAAGGATGAGGAAGGGAAAGGTTGGGTAAATGAGGACGGTGGGGCTGGTCAAGGACTGTATTCTAAAAACACACTTGCGCTCTTATTTTCACTTGCAGAAAAAAGGAGGAATTGAAGCTGCTCACCATTCTCAGTGCTTCCTCTGGACTACAAGCTAAGTCTCAAAGGGATCTCACAAGCTCATCTTGTTTCTTCACCCACCCTAGAGGAGGATTAACTACACCTGTTTGTCTCACCTTTTATGAAAACCTCCCTTCGATGGAAACATCACTATCTCCCCAGGCAATTCATTCAATACTAATTACCCCTGCAGCTATAAAATTTGTCCATGCTGTTTAACCTATATTTCATTTGGTATAATTTAGGTATATCTTTGTCTGCCCTGATTGAAGGGATCATGGCTGCACAGACTGTTCTCTTCCATTTGCTGTTTTTGTAACTAATAGGCTATGTATTGACTCTTTCCTGGGCTATGTACTTTTCTGTGCTAAGCCAGTCCTTACACTTAATATTTAGTTATAGGCATGTGGTCTCCAGACTTCTGATGGCTCTGACTGACATCCTCTGGAGTTGATCCTGTCTGTCCACCCATTGTTTTAAAGCACAGCTGCTACTTGGACATAGAGCTCCTGTGGAATAGACAGGAAGGGTTACTTCATACTTCTGGCATCCTCTAGTCTTGTTTAACACAGCCCTTAGCGCCTGCCCCTTGTCAGAACCACAGATACAGCTGACTCAGGTCCTGTCTGTGATCTGCCATAACCACTTAAGTCTTTTCTGCAGACTGATGGAGTGACTGGTCCCTTACCTTGCTCCAGGGCAGTGAATACTTCACTCTTGTCTGTACCTAGCTGCACTCTTCTGCTTCAAGTCACACTTAAACCTCATTCTATTCTTCCTGGCTCAGTGTCAGGTTTTAAAGGCTTGATGTCTTTTTTCACTAAAAGTATCACCCAGATTTTCTGTGGAAATATTTAACAGCACTGGGTAGGAAAACACCCCTCTGGAAAAAAACAAACCAAAACAAAAACAAAAACATTTTTCTAGCTGGACAGTAGATTATCAATAACTAGTTTTCTAGCAGCAGTTTTTGCATTCCCACTAAAATGTTTTCCCATGTACTGTTTCATTTGCTCGTTTAGAACATGAGACAGCCAGAGCCCGGGTTGGAAGGGAAATGCTGCCCTGTCCTCACATATCTGTAACCTCTTTATGGAGTTCCCAGGATATGATTCATGGCAGCTGCTGCTCTCCAGGCAGGGCTGTGCTGACTGACCCTCAGGACTTTAACCTGTCAGGATTTTCCTGAGGTGCAAGAACAGGAAAACAGTTGTTTGGGGAGCTGTGGCTGCCTCAACTCTTCATAGCCCAGCTAAACCTGATGGCAATTTTTGGGAGGCTACGGAAAAGCACTTCTTGGGCCACAGGACACATACCCTAACAACTAATCGGAAATGCTGTTGTGCGATCAAAGTGAGAGGTGTTCTTTAAAGATGGATATGCTATTATGCAGTGTACCAGGCCAGCCTGCTCTTCCTTCCCTAGAGATGTGAGTTAATACATGTTCTGGCACTTTTTGCTGTACTGTGATACTGGTATTATTATTTCTCCTAAGCTTAAAACAAAACCACTGTGTGACTGCCCAAAGTAAATGAGAAGACGTTACTTTGCAGTTGGTTCTGAGACCGGTTTTTTGTGGTTGCTGAGTAATGGGTTCAGCATTTCACAGAATCCTTGGAGCTTTTCTGAGCCAGTGTCTCAGGCTCCTCTGGAAGCCAGTTTCTCTCTCCCAGGAGTCTGTTAGTGAGGAGAAGACCTTATGTGCCTGGCAAAGTGGAGCCCTGCACCAGTCTGCTTTGTCACTGGAGTGGCTCTGGGTAAGAAAAGGGAACATGTTGCTGCCATAAGAAACCCACTGCTTTGTACAGATCATTTATCACAGAGAGCAGTATAACTAAGGCAAGAGCCTGTCTATTTAGGGTGGCTGTGTGGGGAAGGAGTTAGGCTTTTTACCCTCTACCCATGCCCATGGAGCAGTAAGAAGGAGTATGCTTGTTATAACTTGTGTAGTAAGAATGATATTAACACCTGCATTTACACACTGATGGGTACTCATCTGGGATTCACCCCTCCTCTGGGGCTTCCAAAGGCTTTATAGAATCAAAGAATCATAGAATGGTTTGGGTTGGAAAGGATCTTAAGATCATCCAGTTCCAACTCCCTGCCATGGGCAGGGAAACCTCACATTAGACCATGTTGCCTAAGGCTCCGTCCAACCCGGGCTTGAACACTGCCAGGGATGGAGCATTCACCATTTTTTTGGGCAACCTGTTTCAGTGCCTCACCACCCTCACAGCAAAGAACTTCTTCCTTATCCTCGTAGGCATCACATATGTATACTTCATCTTTATTTCAGGAACACCTTTTCTATGCTTTTTCAAGGAATCAGTGCTAGGATTTCCAGAAGATTTTGCCCTAGCTGTGTTTATCAAGCTAAGGGAATATAACACCAGAACTTTGCCTGCTTCACAGGACTAGGAACCCTTGTTAAGCCTGGCAACAAATGTACAGTAGGTTGGCTGTTGTATCAATAAAGATGACTGTGAGAGATGTGTGATGCAAACAATGCTAAATCTGGATGTACATTAAAAAAGTATCACCACTGAGACCTGGCTCTGCTGAGGGGGACGATTTTGACCTCCCTCTGTAACAGACTGGGGAGGAAACACCTGCTCAGGAACTCTGGAGCTCAGAGGTAGGCTATATCCTCCCTTTTACTTTCTCTCCTCTATTTAGTGTGTGTTGTTGTCCAGACAAATGAATTCTAAGATAAAGCCATAAAGGAAGGAAGACACCTATGAGTTCCTGTCCTTCTGCACCCCACACAGTCCTTGTTCTGCTTGCTTTTGTTACTTTCCAACTCCACTGAGTTGGAAACCTGCCCAGAATTAGGGTTCTGGTTTGGAAATTGCTTTAGGATCTTCTAAAGTACAAAAAGTGAAATCCAGATAAAACAGGTATTTCTGTATCCTGAGCTGCATCAAAACGTGAATGACCAGCAGGTGGAAGGAGGTGATCCTGCCCCTCTACTCTGCTCTCATGAGACCCCACTCTGAGCACTGTGTGCAGTTCTGGTGTCCTCAACATAAGAAGAACATGGAGCTATTGGAACAAGTCCAGAGGAGGGCCACAAGGGTGATCAGGGGCTGGAGCACCTCCTGTATGAAGATGGGTTGGGAAAATGGGGGCTGTTCAGCTTGGAGAAGAGAAGCTGTGTGGAGACCTCACAGCAGCCTTCCAGTATCTGAAGGGGGCCTACAAAGATGCCAGGCAGGGACTCTTCATTAGGGACTGTAGCAATAGGACAACAGGTGGTCGGTTTAAACTGAAACAGGGAAGTTCAGGTTAGATCTAAGGAAGAAGTTCTTTACTGTGAGGGTGGTGAGGCACTGGAATGGGTTGCCCAAATAAGTGGTGAATGTTCCATTCCTAGCAGTGCCCAAGGCCAGGTTGGACAGAGCCTTGGGCAACATGCTCTAACATGAGGCATCCCTTCCTATGGCAGGGGGCTGGAACTGGATGATCCTAAGATCCTTTCCAACCCAACCCATTCTATGATTATATTATTCTATGATTTCTACAGCAATACTTGTTACTTCTAGTCCCGTAAGAAAGTGATTTGTCTTTTCTTTATGGGACACTCTTGGCACTTTCTCCCTGTAAGACTTATGATGGTTGCACACACCTTAGGTAACTGAGTAAGGAGGCTACAAGCTGATTTCCATGCCCAAGATAAAAGGTATCTGCCTCCCAGGGAACAGTCCTTTAATTGCAAGGCAATCAGCTATGTTATCTACCGTGGCTGATACTACCTTCTCTTTTCGGCAGAAAATGAGGTCATGCAGCTTTTTCTGGAGGATTTTGTGTTTTGCAGAAGAAAAAATACCCTTTGTTATGCCAGTTAAAGAATGTGAAGCTACTGAGAGGAGTGGCAGACTGGTGTTATTGACTCTATCACTGTAAACCACAAATCTCATGTGAGCTGTGTTCCCTGTTCCCTGTTTGAGTAGCAGCTCTGGAAATCTTTTAATTAAGTTAGAGTTTGCTGGGGCATTTTAAATATGCTTCTTTCATGATGATGAAAAAAAAATTGAAAACATGAAGCCTACAAGCACAAAATCCAGCAAGCAGAGAAATATTCCTGCTTGAAAAAAAGAGAAACCATAATTTGGGTTGAAATTGGGACTCCATGGCTTAACAATTACTTGCATACACAGTCTACATGCGTAAAGTACATTTGAGTCACTGATGTGAGGACGTGTGCATCTCAGAATGAGAGGAATAGACTATTGGTGTAATGCTAAGTCCTCTCATAGGATTTGCCATCTGCCCTCGAATCAGTCCCTCAGTGTGCAGTCCGGCCAAGAGAGCACACCTCACTCTATATTCAAGGGTTATGGCCTTGAGAACAGTCAGAGACCTGAAAAAAATCTTTTTTGCCAAGAGTAACTTCTAGTATGTAGCAGTGAGGATGTAGAAATCTGCACTTTGAAGCAGAGAGATGGCAAGTTAAGATAGTCAGTAGCATCAGGGCTTTTGATGTAGAGTAAAAGATTTCTTGATTTTATTTCTCTTTAAATGAAAAGAGGTAGCTCCTGAAGTATCTACAGAGCCTTTGCTTAAGAAGTCACAAGGGTACCCTGGCTTTAACCATGCAGAAAATGTTGTCCATCCCTTAGGAGCACTTGAGCACCCTAAATTACTTTGCTGAGGCTGGGCTCAGACCTGAGTTCCTGCTCTGTGACAATGTTCCTCTCTCTCCCACAGTTGCTTCCAGAGAAGAGATTTTGATGCCATTTCCAAGCTGACAGGCAGCTGGGGTGGCCAAAGAATATCTCTGTCAAAACAAGCCTAAGACCCTACCATGTTAATTTTCTCATTCATAGTGAAAGTTGTGCTTTATTAAATAGTTTCTCAAAAAGCCTATTTTTAGTCAGGCACCAATGTTAGCAGATCTTAAAATGCAGTCCTAGTCCTAAAAGAGACTGCCTAAAAAAGAAAAGGGGAGGAGGGATTCAAAGTGTTGAGCAGTAACCTGTGTGTCTCCCTCAAGCAAACCCCAGTATTGACAAGCAGAAAGTTTTCCATTGTTTTTCTGTCAGTTTTGGAATGTGGAAGCTGACATTTCAGCTAGGCTTTCTCACACATATCCTGAGAGAAAAAAGCCCACAAAACCTTTCTGAATTCATTAGCATCTCGCACAGGTGAGATGACAGTGGAATAAAATGCTGCAAGCTGTGAATAGCAGTACCACAACCTATTTATTCCTTGTCAATGTGAGATGAAAAAAGCTCACTCCTGTTACTATAAACTCTTCAGTTCCAAGAGGAGCAGGGAAGTAGGAGACTCTCCTTTTGGTAGTCAGCTGCTCTAGATGCTCACTTAGGAAATGATTTTGTATGGAAGCAGGTGTCAGACTGAAGCTGAAGTCCATGGCCTAAATAGTTTTTTGAAGAGTTATGCACATTACAACAGGACATGAACAGCTGATGTGCTTCTGACTGGGACTGAACACTTTTGCCTCCCACATGTTGTAGTTCTCAAGACTTATTTCTGATAAAGGAGTTGTTCTAACTTAAAACTTGCTTCCAAAACAGTACCCCATCTGCAAACTGCTTGAAGATATGAATCTGATTGTCTACTCTGGAGCTGATGTAAGATAAAATTTCTCCAAATAAATGGTGTCAGTTGCATTTTAATTCTCTTATTTTCACCAATGTGGGCTTGATGACTGATGGAATTGACATTTATTAAGTGTTTATGTAGATGTTTCTTTCTGACAGATCACTAGAAAAAGCCTCCAAGGAAATGAATCTGGCCCTACTCCTTTCAATGTCTTCAGGCTAAGGCAGGAAACAAGTATTTTTCCTCCTGTGAAAAGTTATAAAACAATTGGGAATCCTTGCAGGGGATCAAACACTGGAACAAGAGCATTCTTTACAAAGGAGAATTTAATTGCATGTCATCAGTCCGTCTTTGCAGCGCTGCTCTGGCCGACCTTTGGTTTATCTTCTGTCCAAACGCAATACGATGTATCCTGCTTGGCTGCGCATTTACATTTGCACACGTTCTATAGCAATTAGCTACTTCCCTCTTTTTTTCTCCCTTTCTCCTTCCTTTCCTTCCAGTGTTAAGTTTCCCAAGTTGTCTGCTTCCTGTCCAAAACTCAGGGAATAAACTGTTGTAAAGCACTCTAACAGAAACAGGTATCTGAAACTACTGTGGGTCTGCTGCCTTCCCAATGCTACAGCTCTGAGAGCACAAACCTTCCAAAGTAGCTGATCAGATGGAGCACTGCTATTTTTCAACTGTTTTCACTGTGTGTCAAGTCTTGACAGCAAGCCAGTCTGAACTGGCAGCAGAGCTCTGGAATAAGCCATGGGGAAAGCAGCAAAACACAGTCATTTATCTTTGAAACAAAAGCACTGAAGATGGAATGTCTGATTCTATTCTCATTTAGACTGGTGAGAAGCAGACACAACTCCCCTGAAACCCAGAACAGAAGTGCAGGAGGAAAAAAGTGAGCTCCTTCACAGTTTGCACAGCCAGCAGAAGTGAAACAGCAATTTTGTATGATACAGAAAAATCTGCCACTTCACTGGGTGGGAGGGGGAATATGAAAACCGAAAACTTAATGTCCCTTAGAAAAAAATTTTAGATTGATTTGTTGGTTTTTTTTTGCTTTGTTTTGTTTTGTTTCATTTTGTTTTGTTTTGTGTTTAAGGTGTATGCCCCCTACACTGCTGGTGTAATTCTATGATCAGTGGGAGCTTCTCTGAATTGCTGATGGTGACACTGACAGGGTTTGGTTAAGGCTGTTCAATTCTCCTGGTATCAGGACTTCTTGTCTTAAAAAGCATCAGACTTCAATAATTTGCAGAATGCTGTGTATACTGCTTATGAATGAGTTTGGATGGGGTTTTTGCCCCTTCTATCATAACAGCAATCCAGAGTAACTACTGTCTTGGGTATGTTTTGGTGTGAGATTAGAGCTGGAGCATGACACTTCCCTGTGTTCAGAAGGGTGCTGTTTTGAGATAATCTGATTGCCAGGACACACAAAGAGGAAGTGAGAAAATGCTGAGGAAGTAAAACGAGCTGTTGAATGACACAGATCTCATCAGATCTTAAAGGGAAACTCCAAGGTTTCGGAAGAGCTGTTTTGAGCAGCTGATGACTGAGAATAACACCTCTGATGCACAAGTCTGCTAATACAGGCCAGTACAGGGATGGATTTTGCACTTACTCAACTCCTCCTGAAGTCAGTAAATGGCACCTGAGAGATACAGATCACTGTCATTTGGATAGAGGCAGTCAGTGTCTGTGAAAGAAAGGGATGTTTTCCAGTGCCATCCAGTGAATTAGCAGCAGAAACCAGGTAACTGTAGTCTTGTGTCTCAGTAACCTGAGTACGGCATCTGCTGCTTACAGCTTTGTGATCTGAGTCTGAGCACATGATGTTGTGTGGTTTGCAATATTAGTCTGTTTCAGCTTTTGCGGTCACCTTATTATGTAAGAAATTGAGCTTTTCTCCATGTGTATATATGTACATGTGTGTGTTTATATACACACAAAAGGAAACTGAGTACGGGAGGAAAAGAAGAATCCCAAAGCCAATCAAGACAAATTAAAGCATAACCAAATCTTTAGTTCAAATATGCCAGGTGTGTTAGGTTAACTATATCGAATATTAGTGAACAGTCTTAAAGCAATTCTTGACTTTTGGGAGGCTTTAGTGTAATTTTTCTGGCTAGAGTTAAGGAATATGGTGATAGAACTCTGGTGGCAATGCTGTATGTCATATTTAAAAAGAGAATACTATAAAAATCTTTCTTCTTTTTGTGTCTTGTAGGAAACTGAGCCATGTTTTTAGTGTGTTCCTAAGTCTTATGACCTATGCTAAAGCCTGTGCTGTATAACCCTTTCATCATTTTCAACGTGGTTGCTTTGTCAAGTAGATGGGAACAGATATGTCAAAAAGACCAACCACTAACAGGCTTTCTTTTTCTCATCTCCAGCATGGAGAAATTGGTGAGTTTTTTTCCTCATCTTACAAAAATGCAGTTACACCAATTATGAAATGGGCACTGTGCTAAGTGTTGAACAAAGAAATGCAGAGGTTTTGCCTGAAAAAAAAGAAAATCAACCAAGAAAAGTCCCAAACCACTGCAGGGTGGGCACAGGTGAAACCAGGGGCACTTAAACACAAATTAAGCCAGAAAGGGAGCAGCAACATATATATGTTATATCCTAGTAAAGATTTCTTTACCTCTGCAATTAGGTGGAAGATGGCTTGACTGAGAAAAGGCTGTGCTTCAGGGAAGAAAAGTGGTGTAAGCTGAAGGGAGGCAAGCAGGATGAAAAAGGCAGAGTAGAAGACAGATGGGGATTCTGTTGTGCATCATGACCAGGATACTTCCATTAGGGATGAGAGAAATAGTTCAGCTGAAAAAAACATTTCAAAGATGTTTTTTTTTCTTTCACAGCATGTCCAGTATAATTTGAAAGAAAATTTTGTTTTGTCAACCAAATCAGGAGCTGTGTGGTTCCCTGGGGTAAAACCCCTGGTGCTACTAAAGAAAAGAGGAGTTTTGCTTTGTCTCATCTTTGTGGCAGGCATGGGCATAAGCCTATTCTTAGGTGTAGGCTCTTGGATTAGGTTTGGCTGTCAGCTATGTTCAGCATATTTTGGAAATGCCTGCTTGACCCTGCAGGCTGAGCTGGGAAATCAGAGCTTGCTACTCTCTGTTTATACTCTGTGCCTTGCAGGTCTGAGAGTGGACAATACACATGATGAGAATTAAAAAAGGAAGAAGAAAATAGATCACATGCTTTAGACCTTTCAGACCAAGCAGTTGCATCTGAGTACTCACCGAAGTGAATACATTTCTACTGGTTTTGGCTTCTGGGGAGGGGATGTCTTTCTCTGAGGAACTGTCTGTGGCTTTTTGCATTTTTCAGTCTTGAACAAACTTCTATTTACAATACAAAAATAATAACTAAGCTGCACATTTTTCATTCTGACATGTGAAATTAAAAATAATTGTGCTTTGCACAATTAGGCCAAGATGGTAATACCCTTCTGTTGTCTGGGTACATTTTTAGTTCAGGTTAAAAAAATTCCTTTGCACTGTGCTGGGTGGGTTGCAAAGCTGTCTTATGGACTTACCTCTGTTCCCACAACAGTGTCAGTAAAGGCTGACAGTCATTTTGGCCATGTCTAGACAGTGGTGCAAGACATAATGTTGGCATGCGCCATGACAACCTTCCATTTGAAAACAAGGTCAAAGAGTGCTTCTGGCATTGCTGCAGGTAATTATCTGTCTGAGAGTTGACAGTAATCTCAACAGACACAAATTTTTATATGAAGTGTGTTCAATATAAGTATGTAATTTAACCAGCTATTTATTTGTTTTACTTGGTACCCCTTCCAGGGAATAAAGCAAAACCTGTTTTCTTTTACTCTGCAGTGTGACTAGAACATTGCCCAGTATGGCAAGTGAGTGATAGCACAGACAAGAGAAAACAGAGTATGTTTTCTTTAAGAAATATTTGGCATGCAAAACAGAAAGCCCTCTGTTTGAAACTCTGGCAGTTCGACTTACGGCATCTTAAAACGTGAAAACAAGCACATCAGCAACTTCCTGTTGCTGGCAGCAATGTTGAAAGGTAACTAAGAGTATGGAGAGATAATGCAATGCCCATCTGGAAAGCGTGCAACAGCTTCTTCAGAAAAAGCACTTTGCCTTGGAACAAACCAATCCTATTGCTGTCAAAAAGGAGAGAACTATGAGAGCAAATTGTCGTCAGAGATTCTGTTCCCATGGCAAGAGAAGGCATCTCCTCCTCCTAAAAACGCATGACACTTCTTTATTTTTGCAGATTTCATTGTGGTGAGGTAAACTGATGCATAAAATGTTGGTTTTTTTCTCAGTGTAGGCCACCAGATCACAAACTTGTTAGTCTCATGTCACTGCAGGTTGTTTGTGGAAACAGGAAGAGTACCTGGATCTCTTCACTGTTAGTCCCATGCATGGGTCACCACACTAGACACTTCTGTGCCTTAAATTTCCTGTGTACCACAAACTGGGTAAGTATCTAAGTCTTGTCTCTGCAGCTAATATTTTTCCCTGAATAGAAGTCTAGTGACTCTGAGCATAAAAACAGCCTGGAAAGAGCTTGCAAATAACTTTTCTTTTTTTCCAGGACAATCCTGTCAGAGGACTTGTGATCAAGGCAGGAATTGAAAGCAGCACTCCCTGAAGGGACAGAAATGCTGCGATATCTGAAAAATCCTTCCAGAGGCAGTTACCACACTGTAGACATACAGAGCAGCATTCCCTACATTTGACAGGTATTCTGAATTATAGCTGTGCCTAACTAGACTAGGGTAATTTCATTATCAGAATAAAATGTTTGGTTTAAGCATGACTACTGCTTCTTTGGTCCTTCTTGCTGAGACCAAATTGTGAATTACTATCAGGGAAGCAAGAAGTGTCCACGATGAAGTGCTTAGCCTCAGTCAAGATGAGGTCTGTAGTGCTGCTGCAGTTGTCTGTGACAGTTTTCATGCTGATTGGAACCTTGTGGGATAATTTTAATTGGCCTGGGGAGCCACTGGCTGATGGCAAATAAAAAAAGGCAGCATGCTTGACTGACCTCTGTGAACAGATGAAGTCTTTGTAGGATGACTCTTAGCACTGCTGTGGGATCTGATATAGTGGCAAATCATTGTCCAAGTCCTGTGGTTTCAGCTTCTGATGAGCACCTCAATTTGCCTTTGCTGCTGCCATTTGTAGCATGAATCCCCCTGGAGAGAGGAATTACAAGTTGTTAAAGGGGAACTGCAGATTAGGAGCAGAGAAAGAAAAAGGGAGAGTCAAGATGAAGGGGTGGAAGTGGAAGGCAAAGTGCAAAACCTAGGAGAATACTAGGGAAGAAGAGAAACACACAACTGAAGAGAAGGATGACAGAAAAGGCTTGGATCAAATGTTATAACGTTCAAGAAGATACAGCTGAGAAAGAATAATGGAGGAGGAGGGGGAGGGAGTGATACTTGATGTTTTTTTCTCCTTGGAATGCTTCAGTAATGAGTTATCCTAAATATTCTTTTAAGGGAGACAGGAAGGGAACAAGAGGAAGGGGTTTCCTTAAGAAGATGGGACATTCGCTTTGCTGTCCCCTTTATGCACTTCTGATCTCCCATCTCTTCCCCACTCCCCATTATCAATGTCCTAATTATTCCCAAACTGATTGCCCTACACACTGAACGGTTTCCCTCCTCCTTCTTAATGTTACAAGGGATTTTTCCCTGGTAGGCAAAACCATCCTGTCTGCACTTGTAATTGTGTCTGTGTTGTTATGGACAAGGGTCTTTTCATTCCAAGACTCAGTGAGCTATTTTGGCCAAGCACACTGAATGAAGCATTTATTACTTTCCTTCGAATGAAGTTTCCTATTACAGGACACTTCATTTTTAAAAAGCTGAGATTAAATAGCCCAGGAAATGTTGGACCAATATACTACAGAAGTGGTTGCCTGTCATGGTATATAAAATATTCCATGATGCTATCCCGCAAGGGACATTAATATTCTTGCTAAGTCTCAGGTAGTTGAGGTTCAAGAGACATACACATTAAAACATACCACTTAAACTGAAACAAGCATTTTCAGATGAAAAGGCAGCATGGAAGGAATCCAGTTCTGGAAAGGACTTTAGAATCCAGAGAATAGTTTGGTTCATCTCTTTGGGAATAAACAACTTCTACGTTGCCCTTGAAACCAGGTTATTTTGGGAAGTATCTGTTTAGAGAGATTTGTGTAGGTGAAGTAAACTCACTTAATAATTTTGTAATAGCTTCACCGGGACTTGATCTTGTGGTGCAAAACACATGCCTAGAAATACAAGCACTAGAAATTAGCAGGGCAATACAACTTACTGGAAGTTACAGATCAAACAAGTGAAATTTGGTCTTCCATCTTCTCCTGGCTTGCATTAGGACTGGTTGGAGTATTTCATCTGGAGACAGTGAGCCACTTACCAGCTTTGTCCCATTTTATATGTCCTACTGAAGGCTTGCTGCATTTCAGTGCTAGGGGGTCTTCCAGAGGCAACTGTGCCAACTGTGCTTTAGCTGAGCATATGGACACAGACATGAGGGGAAGTAGTTTGAAACCTGCTACTGCTGTCCTATCAACTTTTTTAAAGAAAATGGTGTTACATGAAAAACAACATACTTCAAGAATTTATCTGTGGGCATGTTTGTAACATGGTTGCTCCCTCCCCACCCAATCTGAGCCTAAGGAATCATGTTCAAGCTTGCATCAGCATGCAGAGCATCTCACAAGTACAACTACAGTATTACTTTCCCAGATGGAGTTCACTGACAAGTCAGGCAGAAAGATGTGCCTCCAGAGTCAGAACTGGAAGCAGGATTTGTATGTTAACATCAAATTTGGAAATAACCGGGTAGATACGTTGATGGTGCAAACATAAACTGCTTTACTTTCAGCTGCAGGGCTGCTGTCTCCATACATTCTTATACAGAACTCAAGGAGCTATATGCTTTCCCAGTGTGAGAAACTATGCTTCTTCTTCAGAAAAGCTCACCTAACAAGGGCAAGCTGCAACATGGAAGTTGGAGAGAAGACTAAATAGAGGATGCTGGACAAGTTAACAGCAAACTGGACTCTGAGACTAACTTGAATATGGAAAGGGTAGAGTTCTTACTTGCATATTCCATTCCCCTTTATTTATTAAAGGAACTCCTCCTATTTGGATGACTTAGAGCTAATATGATATTTGTACAAACCTGAGCATTTTATATTTCCTATATTTGGGGAAAGAGGAGAGAAAGGGCATCTAATTTTTTTAACCTCAATGTTTCTTTTATGGAATCTGATTTTTTTTTTTTTCCATTTCTCCTCTTGTGAGGAGAAACAGGTTTTGAAGATACTAAGAACCCATAAGTTTGCAAATAGTAGTGAATCCCTGTATGTATAGAGTGTCTGTACAAAATTAATTTCTGCAAATTGAAAGCATGAACTTATATAAACACAAACCTCACAGCAGCATGAAAGACAAATAAAGCCTTACATTTTAAATGGGAAACAAATTAAGAAAATCTTTGCCAACTTTCTCCAGCTCTGCCCAGTTGGTAGGCACTCCAAATTTTCCTTTTGGAGGAGGTGCTTGCTGGGGAATGAAGAAAACACTACGCTGTGATAAACCAAGACAGCTGTTTAAATTGCTTACTGTAGTATTAAGCTGTTCTTTGTACTTTTGTTTTACTGTTTGTGCCTTTTTCTTCCTGTAGTTGCCTAACATTGATTGGTGTATGAGGATACAAAACAAATGGCTGGAATTATATTTGAACATGGCTTAATTCTCTACTTGAGGAGACAGTGGAAGAAGAGAAGTTAGAGACGTGCTGCCTGGTTTAATCATTGTAAGTGATAGTTACAAGTAGCAATTTCTGACTTAAAATAATGCTGCACATTTGCCTGCCTTATGCAGACTTGAAGCATTCTTTTAACTTCCTATCAATTCAAAGTGGACACTTAGACAAGCTACTGCTGAGCCAAATGATAGAATAAAGGTCACTGAGTTTCAGGGCTGAGTTAGATGGCTCTAGCTGAACCTCTCCCAAAATAAATAAAGAGAATTGATCATTACAGATATTTACTCTGAGAATTATGATACTCAACAGTGAAATTCCCACTGGGTCCCCCAGCAGTATTATATTTATACATACACCACCTCGGTGTAATGGTAAATGGTAATGCCAAGTTGAGGCTGCCACCTTAAGCCTGTTCTTTTGTGCATTAGTGTGTCTTTAACAGTGTGACATACTGCTTCTCATTCAGAATATATTGGGCAATTCATTCTACAATTTTAGAGACACTGTGTGTTCTGTACTTCAGAGAACATCAAGCCATTTTTTGTCTCCTTCATCAATGACAGGCAAGCTTATATCCTTTTTTTAATGATGCCGCACATGCATTTTTCCAGAGACAAAGGATGTTTGGGGAAGAACTGTAGAGCACAGCTCAGCAGAAGATTCCTGCTCCCATCAGATGAGGGTATTGTGGTGGTTTATCAGGCTGGTACTCTGTAGCATGTTTTTTACCTTCTCATAGGTTTTAGCTGTAGGATGCTACTATAAAGACTATTTGCTGCTAACTCTGTGTTAGATGCCTAGTTCTCCCTTTTCTGTCCCAGGGTCACAGGGAATGTGGGATGACCATGTGCCATCAGTGTCCTTGGGATGGATAGTGGAGGTTGTCCTCTGGCCCTTGGGGTGGGGAGGGCCCCTGCTGATGCATGAAGGGTCATTCCCCCTTCATGACCATGGTTCTATCTCCACTGGCACCTTTCAGAATGCCCAGGCTTAGTATTTATGCACTGGAATATTTCAATGCCTGCAGATGTATGTGATCATCAGAGAAGACACACCAGAGGATAAGCTGCACCCCATGAAGGGTTGACGCTGAAGGGTAAACTCACTCTCCTTTTTATGCTAAACGATGCTGATGAACACAAACACCAGTTGGTGCTGTAATAAGAACCTATGATGAACCTTGTGGGAAAACACTTCTTTTTGTGCTTTTGCAGAAAACAGTGCAATCCCTCTGGGCCCTCTGTCATTGGTTAGCAGCATTAATGATTCTGAACAGCAAACCCACATTTATGGGTTCTTTTGTCTCAAAGTTGTGCAACTTACCTCACTTCAGATGAGTCATGATTTCATTTGATAATAGAATGTAACTTGAGACATAATTGCAGAGAAAAGAAGAAAACCTGTGATGCAGCTAACTGTCCCCAGTTGTTCGCATGCAGGTTTTTAGTGTAGGCAGTACTGATTTCTGCCTTAAACATGTACACGTGTTCACCATGGATATGGAAATATTTAAGCTGACAATTTGTATTATGCTCTCTCCATTCTTAAAAAGCTGAATTTGTATCATTGCACAAATGGCAAGGTAGCTCCTCACATCTTATTCTATTATACAAGAGTTACATAGCACTAAAAGAAAGAATTTATTTTTCCTTCTCTGGTAAAGGAGGCAACTTGCAAACCTCTATCAATACAGTTAACATCCCACTTTACTTATTTATCCTTCATGACTGGGTTCTGCAAGAATAAAGGCCTGGATCCCATTTCTGTAGACTACTCAGAGGTCGTATCATGAAACTGTGACTTTTGCCACACAGTTGTCAACGTGCATCCTAATGTGCTTTTCTGGTAGACACAGGTGCCTTCAGTGGCAAGTCTCTGCTAAGACAAGCTAGACTGTATATTCTTCCATGTATTAAAGCATTTTCTGTATAAAAGCATAGTGTTCACAAATGGAGTCATCTGCTCATCAGCAGCTAAAGTTGACAGAAGTATAGCTAGAAAGTTCCATACCTTATCCAAGGAATAAGATATTCACTGCTTACTATAAATGAGAAAAAAGGAATTTTTGCAATGCAATGCACCAAATGTCACATCTGAGTGCCTAGTGTTACTCCTTGTGCAAACAAGTAATTGAAGAAGTGAAGGTAATTGTAACAATATCGATTCCCTTTACTGTTGACTTCCCCTACAAGCCACATGGTTGCATGTGTTCCATGCAAAAAGACCACTACAGCTGAACCACGTTAGCAGAGAACCACAGTTTCAGCTGAAAAGTTGTTTGTATCTTGGCTCTGGACAGTTGTCCATTTTAATAAAGGAGGTATCAAAGGCACAACACGGAAAATGTGCTCAACCGTCCTTTGCACTTTAGCAACATCTCCCTCATGAGCTAGAACTACTAAATTTTTCACAGCTTCTGACTGCTTAGAGACCAGAGCAGTTTCTCAAGCTGTTTGGTGCACCTATACCAGCAAGGCAGCATTAACAGGCACTGTAAACATAAGCTTCTTGCAGCCTACATTGCAAGTAAGCCCACCTCTGGTCATGTGCAAGGCTGCCATTGCCTTCTTTTGGGATGCTATCTCATCACAGATATTTAAGCATAGATGCGGCTGTCAGTATGCACTTCTTGGTGACAGAGAAAAGCAGGAAGATACTTGGGAAGGTTCTGCTTTGCTCTGTCACACCCCATGTTTTTTATTTCCAGGTAACTCAGAGTTATTAACTGCAAAGTACCTGGCTTCATAGGGACAGTGGGGCTTGAAAATGCTTTTGGAAATGACACTTAATGAATCAATGAATCCAAACTAAATGGAGCACAACTGTGGCTTTTTTTTTTTTTCTCATTTCTCAAGCAATAGATAATGTAGAAATCAGTAACACTATTTCAATAGAACAGTAACCTCAATAGAACAGTAACACTATTTCCCTCAATAGAAGAATAGAAGACAAATCCCCCCCAACAGGTTTTGCTTTTAAGTAAATGGGTCATTTTTTGGAAAAATGTTTACTTCTCATTAGTGTTTAACAATTCCAGCACACAGAGTTATGCAGGCAGATAAGCTATTTAGGTAAATTAAAATATTTATACAACAATATTAGAATATATTGTGTATGAAGTCTAATTTAGTAACTGACACTGATTCATCTAGACTTTGAAAGCAAACCACAGCAGATGCTGAAAAGGAGAAAGTAAACAATATATATGGAAATAATGAAGACACTTTTCCCACCACCTGGAATGAAGCACCAAAGTTAATAGTGCTGGTTAGCAACTGAATAATTTACCAAGATGCTTGAGGTAATTATGCCTCTTCTTATTATAAAAATAGATGTCTCCTTTGCATATACCTAAGCTCTTAATCTCTATAACCTTACTGGCAAAGAGTTCTACAGGTTAGCCCAGTATTCTTATACATACATAATATTATTTTTCTGTGTATTTATGTATCTATCTCTGTTGTTGTATATTTATACCTTTTTCCAGACGCAGCTTAAACCATCTGTGTTTGAGTGTAATTGCCTATCTTAGCTTTCGAATACAAATACAGAGTGTGCTAAATAAATATTCTTATATTATCCATTATTGTGTATACCCATACCAGCGTCCTAGACTTATCAACATTGCCCAGTCCAAATTTTACTGACTTTCTTCACACACTCTTTTCCTGGGGTTTCTTATAGTGATGCTGACAGGTATCAGCTGTGGACATAGCTGCCTTTGATTTGGATGTGGCACTTTGCTGATTTAGTTTCTAGACATGAGAGTTTGATACAGGGCAGGATAGCAACAACTAAACAGCAATGCCATGCTACTCTCTGGGTATACCCACTGCTCACAGGGGAAAGTGGAAATGACCTCTTTGATCACAGATGAAGCACTGGAGCAAGAGTTTGAATAAAGACGTTGACTTGATTGATTTAATTCAATCAGTTTAGAAACTGCTTCAGCAGTGAGCACAATGAAGTGATTTAATTAAGCTCACATCTAAACCAGTGGTGCTACACTGGAGTGAATGTCAGCCCCTAGAATCCCATCACTACAGGCAGTGGCAAATACCGGTGTTGCATTCTTATCATTGCTGGGTGCTCCTGTCAAACCTGGTCTTGGTGCAGTGCACAACTGGACTATTCCGAAAACCAAAATGAAAGACCAAGCAGAAGTTAAGTTTCCCCTTGCTCCCACAGAATAAACAGCTGTGCCAACCCTTGATCCTTTACCTCCTATTTGCCTCTCTGTGCCAATGCTTCTCCACTGGGGCATGTGTGGGAGAACAGCTGACACTGAATCAGCTCTATTTTCCTATGCACCAGCTCTCCAGTCATGCTGGTGAGAAGAGTTGCAGCCCAATGGAAGCTACTTGTGCCACTGGGATTACTAAACTCAGTGCGGAGGATGAAGCATTCCCTTTATGTCCTAGCTGGAGCATAAAATTACAGATGATATTCATGACTAATCCTGGGGCTAGTTGGCATCTTCTCTCATTCTGTGTTTTGACAAATGGTCAGAAGTTCATAGCCCTGTGACTATGGACAAAATGAACTAGAGATGAGGCAGCAAACAAACGTGTAGAATTTAAGTGCTAAACCTGTGCCTGGTCAGTTTGACGGTCTACAGGTGAGCAGGAATTGCTCATGAAAGATGAATCATTTACTGCTAGAGAGCCAGGCTCTGGTAGCTGCAGTCTAAAGCACTTACGACTTTTTGTTTCTTTCTGCTTTGCCAGCAGTAACAGTGTTTACACGGCCAGTGCCTAGGTTTTGTCACAGCTCCTTGGATTGCTTTACTCATCTCCTCTCAAGGACACTGCAAAGTCTTAATTCATTACCATTTGTAAAGATTAAAAGCGTTGCTATTATGTGGTGAACCTCCAGTTGATAATGACTAGCTGTAGGCATTTAATTATGACTAGTGTAGGCATTTCCTAGAGGCTAATAAAAGGCTGGAGGGAAGTGATAGGGCAAGATCCTGCAGAGAAATTGTTATTGCAATAGTGAGCTGAGAAAAAAAAATACAGGGTAAAAATGCAGAAAGGATTTTTTTTTTTTTTTAACAGGTTACACGATTTTATTGGCATTGGAAAGCCAACACATGCTCTGAAAAGAATGCATGTCCTGAAAGCTTGTCAGATTGTTTCAACCATTTTTCAACTTCCTAGCCAGGTTAAAAAGTGAACTTGAAAAACACTTTATGCTTTTGCTGGGTTTAGCTCACAGTCCCTCTTTCCAAACATATCCCATCACAAAACTTTATTTATGGGCCAATGTTGGTATGTCTGCTTCATGAGTTGTTCCTCCTTCTGCTGTTCAAGCTGATTTTCATGTGTTATGAAAACTGACTTTTCAATAAAAAATGGAACAATTTCCTTAGTCAAGTCAACATGGCAGCAGTTTAAAGGCCCTGTTCAACCAAGCACAGAGGAACACAAGAGTAAATGAAAGCAGCCAGCACATAGCAGGCTGGAACCACTGGTTGTTAAGTTCTGTGACATCTTTGTTACATGTCACATTAAACTGGATTGAATTAGTGTTTCTTTGTCCTGAATGCATAGAGTTGAGAAGAATCTACTTTGCTCCATCACCATGCACTAGGGAACGTCATGTGTATCTACAACTCAGCTTTGGTCTTTTCTGAACTGATACATGTCTATTTACCCTTTTAAAAACACCCAAATGAAATGTTGAGAAGTTTAAAGCTTCTACAACCTTTTTTGTTAGGGGACTGCGTTTAATTAGTTTTCTTCTATTGCTTCCTTACCCTAATTATAGCAAAGGTTTTCACTGTCTAGTTTAAATGTTCTCTCCTGTAAATTAAGACAAATTATTCTGTATTCCTAGTAACAAATATTGAGAAACATCTATCATCTTCTTGTAATTTACAACCTTTGCATAGCAGAAAATGAACTTATTCTTTTCTCCCCTTCTCCAGAGGCATAAGACTTGTTTAACCTTTCTTCAGAGGATGTATTTTCTAAACTCCTTATATTTGCTGCATTTCTTTGAACTAATTATGTTAAATAACTTGTCTTAATGTTTCCATCTTAAAGTTGTATATCGTTTCCTTCCTAAACTGTCCATCTTTTCACTGCATCAGAAAATGTTGCTGTTAAGTCTGACTTTCAGAAGTCATCAGGTGTCCTGCACTCCTTTATCCCCAGGTGTAAGTATTATGATACTTAATGAAGTTTTCTGAAGTCCCTCACCTGTGCTTTGCCACTACTACTTTCCTTACACAGTGAAATTGTTTTGTGACTGCTTTCACCCAATACATTTCACTCTTCTACATTTATAGCTACTTTCACCATACTAATCAAAACCAGATCCAACATATTTCTTCCCCTAATAACCTTCTCTGCTTTCTAGAATAGAAAGTTATGCCCATCTTGTGCCAAAGACTTATCTATC